AGACAAATTAATATGCGCGCCATCAGCTCCAAAAGCCGCTAGATGGTGAACAAGGCCTAGTCATAGAAGGCTCTTTTTCTCTGAACAGCGCTACTGAAAGAGGCGCAGAAGGAAGCAATGCCTGTGAGAGTCAGCATGCTGGAACGCCAGAACATTAGTTCACACCGTGGGCTTGCATGAGAAATAAAATATTATGGCGCAGGTGCGGTGCCGGCTTAGGCTTAGGCAAAGAAAAGTTCAAGTCTACTAGTCACTATATACTTATTGATGCCTGAAGGTTTTGCCAACAACCCTTACCCCTACATACTACAAACTGTCAAAACATTGCACTCATAATTACACGGCACCGCCTTGCTGCAAAACATTGCCTGGACCTGGAGGCATCCGCCGCTGGCTTGCTCCACCTTCAGCGGCTATTAGCTAGAGACCCTGAGGCCATGAGCCTTTATTGTGGGTATACTGTATGTACAATGAGGCCTATAAAGGCACAGAAACAAAGTGCATCCGGGAAAGGAAACAGTAGAGGATTGAAAAAAGCATACCAGACCGGGGCACATTAACATTCAGCTGTTCCAACAACAAATTGAAACTACCTGACAATAATCTGGCAAATCCATAATAACAAGTGACGTCATCTCAATATATGGAATCAAAAAATCTGATGCAACACGGCAAACAATCAACTTGATCCAACTTGGAGATTGTATGAAGCTTGTGGTGAAAAAACCAGCCGTACACGAAGGAGTACGAAACCAGTCTGCTCTATGCTGTCTGAAAGGCATGCTACTAGAAGCCTCTTTTTCTAAAAGTCTAAACCAAAGTCAGCGAGATACACTTGAAACCTATGTGGGTATGATATGTTGCCTCTCATGGAACTAGCCATGTACCATGACTCGCTTGGTTTGCTGCAAAAGTTGAAGCCCCCTAGCTCAGTTGGTAGAGAGCATGCGCTTTGTAAGCACGCAGGTCATGGATCGAGCCTCGCGCCCCTGCACAAAAAAGCCAAGCTCTGGGAACCAGATGCTTTCAATTGTGACGTACGTCCCGCAGCCACTCACTTACTTCAAGCTGCGCGCTGAAACAAGCTTTAGCGCACAGGCAAGTACAAACTCTCTTGCCTGTTGCCTGGCTCAGGACGAAACACGCTCCGTGCCAGTTTGTGGGTCTTCTTGACGTGATGGCTCGTGGGAAAGCTGTTAGCAATTCCCCGGAACGTTTCCATGTGAATCCGCTTGAACACAACACGCTGTTCTTGTGCTCTGAGCCATGTGGCTAGCAACATGCTTAAGATGCCCTATTCATGTCCATTCCTTGCCTCCTACCCATGTCACTGCTTGTCAACCCCAAAGGGGCGTTCCCCCATGTAGGAACTCATCGCCTAGGGTTGACCCCGGGCCACAAACTATGTCCAAGCCAAACAGACTTCATCATCTATCACTTGTATTCACTTTCAGATTAGCGTTGGAATATCAGAATCTCTTAACTTCTTGTACATACCAGTGTCCTTTCCCATACTGATCTGGGTGTTTCCCAAAATAGGCCTACCCCAAATCATCCAAGTCATGGATGACCATGACTGAGTATATGTTAACCCATGGTGTGTTAGGAATCCTCCATCTAGTTTCAACCAGCTAAAAAGTGCCAAAAAAACAGCAGTTTTGGCCTCGTTCTGACCCATCGCGTTTGCGACGCTCGCGAAGATCGCCGCGGCGTCCACGCTTGAGGCCTGAGCTAATTATCTAATAATATCGGCAAGGCTGTTTTTGGCCAACACCAGTATATATATATATATGTGTATATGTAGAATTATTTAGATAATATAGATATTGCATGGGTGGTTGTCGTTGAAACAGATTTAATATAATATATACCAAGTCTGTGGTTGTGATTTCAGATCTGCAGAATGGTGTTGCAGCCTGTATCCTCAAACGGTTTGGAATATGACCACTAAGGTATCTAGAATATTTTAGATGGGGTTTTCCCTGTGAGTAGGATCATTATTGTGGTTGTTGGACAAGTCAATATGGTTCATTCCAGAAAGGAACGGGGACTAGGCCATGCAAAACAGGGATTGAAACCAGATTCGTGAGCAAGGAGGTAGGTAACTCAATTCGCAATCGTTCCTAAGCTGAGTTGTTACCATTTTAGGGTGTCATTAAATAGAACTACAAACCGTTGGTAGGAAATGATTGGGCCACATTTCACCTCTGTTAGGCTTTCAGCAGGGAATTTTTCCACCACCCCATCGCTTGAAATGATGTGGAAAAATGTGACAGGCTTAACAGGTCGTTTCACCATGCATCATTTACCAACCTATTGGTTCTCAAAAATGGGGTGGCTTACCCGCCGGGAATCTAACATGGCAGAAAAATCCTTCATTGATGGATGATGTTCCCATGAACAAAGCTCCATTCAAAGGGGGTGTCCATTTCCATTGCTACTACTGGATGGTAAACATCATTGGTATTCTTGGTAACATCATTACCCATAGGATCCATGTATGCTGCAGCTATATATGGTAACATTTACCATCAATATCCCAAATGTTAGCATATATACCATACATGGATCCCATGGGTTATACCAATACAAAACCTCCGTTTTTCGTTACTCGAATGGGATTTCCCATCATTGCAGCCAGTGGGCGAGCGCCAAGTGCTGTGGCTGCTGTGGCAGCGCCAGCAGAGGACCAGAGATGCGCCGCCTGGGCCTAGTCGTGGAACCACCGCTTTGCAGAAGCAAAACCTCAGTACCCTCTGGTAATTGTGTCGCGAAAATGGTAATTTACTTTGTTGATTTAACTATGATGATGATTTTCCGTACATGTTAGTTTACCAGAGGGTAATGTTAGTACAGCGATAGGACACACCATTCCCGATTTGACCATAAATGGATGGTATAAACCATCAAATATAGGTGGATTCTTGTTGCTTTGCTAACTTTATACCCTCTGGTACACTAACACGTTGCCATGGAAATTGGCCCATGAAAACGTGCTACCTATCTAACATGATCATTGTCCACAGTTATGTTATAAAATACTAGAGGGAAAGCCTGCTCGTTATCCCTTGTCCTGCTTGCTTACATCCCGAATTTTCTTCGTTAATATCTTTGGTCATCGTGAAATCCCACTTCGGGAGACTTTGATCTTTCTTGGGTATGTGATATACAGGTATACCTTAAGCTATCATATCCCACGAAAAAATCCGGGTTTTGGTCTCACCACTTTTTCAGGATACTTTTCGGGATGGAAGCCAAAGGTCTATCATGGAATATGTGAAATGTATTGTACGAGTATTTTGTATATACACACATATAATACGTATATATATATATATCTATCTATTTATCTATCTATCTATCTATCTACATATTCCCAGTTCTGCACCTTTGTATAAATTCAATAAAAGGGTAGACTCTTGGAGTTGGGGTACCATGTATATTAATATATATGTATATATATATAATAGCAATCCCCAAAGGATAGAAAACGATTCCAATTCCAAAAATCGAGTGGTAAATTGAACCTTATAATTAATTACATACATATGTATCTATGTATATAGATTTTAATATATACGTATTTCCTTTTATCTGAATCGTTTTGGGGGATGCTTCCCATCAATTTCCATCACCCGCCTGGAGCTTCCCACGTTCGCGCTGCTTGCGTTCGCCCCGTCGGCCGATTGCCGCGGCGCATGGGGACGACCGCGGAGGTAGGGTCAAATGCATCAGCGATAGCTGGTGATTGATATGTCGGGAATATCAATATCGCTATGTAGGATACTATTGCATTTAGCAGAAGATCCTGAGAATATGACTGTAATCCCATGAATCCTTTTTTTATCTTTGGGATCAATTCTCCAATATACATAGGAAAATGATGGGACATCTTTTGGGGCATGTAATGGGTTCTAATGAGATTTATGAGACTTGGTGGTTGAATGAACAACACCCAAAAAATTGTTGTACTGGCCTAAAGATGTTTAAATTGCAGGGCCATATCCCTCTTGTACTGGCTGAACATTTTGTTGGCTGCAGCATTTGTATTCCCATCATGTCCAAGGTCGAATTGGTCATAGCAATGTGTCCAGGCAGCAGAGTTTTGAGCCAGGCCCAACTGGACACAACTGTGGTTGCAGAGCTACACAACTTTCTTAGAAACAGTGCTGCGATGACATTCATGGGCACCCGGATGGTACCCTGAAATAGCTGGCTCATGGATGTTTATTCCCCAACGTATGGTAAGAATAGGTTCTGGCCCATCGGCCCATCCCCATATATCGAATTAGAAGAATTTACAAAGCTGGAACAGTTGGCCGTTTGGGGACCTAATCATCTCTAATCATCCCTGTTCCAATTCCCACAATTTCCAATGACATTCCTGCGACGTGTCCCGACGTTTCGAGACACTGAAGCTGCAGGGGTTGACCCGTCTCTGCCACTGTGACATGGTTGGCGCCACTGGGTCGCATGACTATGGCCTGGCCCATCGAAAAACTGGTGTCGTTGATGGAACTTTAAAAAAAAAAACGCTGGGGTGGTTGATAGGGGATATATTTGGGATATAAAATGATATGTGGTTGATATAGTATCCCCTTTTGATATGGATATAATTTTTAAAAGGGTATAATGGTGGATTTTGCAGTGACATGCTGCTGGTCGAAATTTCTATGGAGATTTCAGTGGATTGGTACTCCACCGATCCCCAGGTGCTGGAAGTGCCAGGTGCCAGCAGATCCACCAGTTTCGGCCAGTTTCGGAGTGGATAGATCAGATAAACAAAATGGAACAAACAGACAGGACTTGTATGGAATTGTCATGATATTCTCTGCATACCAATCATGGGCCAGCGACAACTGACATTCCAATTTCCGAAAGACAGTGCGTTGGATGCTACACAGCAAGGATTCAGTTTCTCAATTTCACAAGTTTTGCAATAGGGGAAACTAACTCTAATGATGAACATCGCCCAATCAACCCTGGAGACACATGAGCCCGCCAACCTGCAACATCGCAAACTTTCGCGTATGTTCTGTCAGTCCGCAGGTTTGAATTGTAATCTTACATGTTGCCTGACGTTTGAGGCAAACAGAATCAGATCATTTCACTTCAAATCATCCATTGGCGTTCTGCCCCTAAGACCTGCCACGCTTGCAACAGCAACCAAGGCCTTCCTTCATGCAATCAACGAAACTATCCCACCAGCTTTGCCCTTGCTCTTCTGACTCCGGGCCTTGTCTTTGCAAATCCTCGCCATGTGGGTGTTTCTGTTTGACTTCTTGGCTGCCATCTTTCAAATCCGCCCCAAGGGTTTCAAGTCCATCCAAGGGTTTAGCCTCCAACGCTTCACACACGTTGCTAGAATCCAACTCGAACAAGTCATGCCCTTCCTGCAAGCAACTTTTCAATTTCTGCCTCCAGGACTCACATGTCAATATCTTGGCCTCGTCGCTGAGGCCCCTTCTACCGGCCCGACCCATGAGTTGAAACACCGTCGAGGCAGGCTGCTCTTCGACAAAGGATTTGGCCAACACCACGCCGGAAATGGCGAAGTTCACGCCATGCGCAATGCTGGCATCTGCGATCAGCAGGTGCAAGTGCCCCAGCCGTGCACGCTCTGACACAAAACAAGCATACTCCTGCCATTCTTCGTTGATCTCCTGTGAAAACACACCGATGCCTCCTGTCAGCAGGATTGCCAAATTCAGGCGGCGCTGGTTTTCAGGGTCCACCGACAAATCTTTCCAAACCGCATGAAACGGTTCCTTTTTGAAAAAGCAGCTGCGAAAGAGTTTGCTGATGTTCACCTTGCGCAAATTTTCGGTGAAGGCTTCATTAAATGAGTCCTGCCCCATGACCTTGCCTTGCACATGCTTGAGGTCAGGCTTAAAGATACTGAACGCCGCATCCACCTGGCTTACTGCCAGCAGCACTGTGGTCTTGCCGGCTAGGTCAATCCATTCCTGCAAGTCAGTCCTCAAAGAAAATGGTGACAAACTCTGTTCTTCACATATGTATTCTATCACCCCCTCCTCTTCTTGCTGTAGGCATTGCAAGCTCACTCGGTATTCGCGGCTCCAATCATGTCCATGCTTCTTGTGCAAAGGGTCAACTACCATATCCTCAAGGCCAGGTAAAACTTTCCTCAAATCCATCACGGAGGTTTCAGACACCATCCGTGCAAAGAGCGGCTTGTCCATGGAAAGTTCCAGCTGCTGCACTTGCGCTCGCATCTGACAACCTCGATGTAAGTGCCAACGATGCGATCCGCTCACAAACATGTCCCAGTTGGTCCAGTGCTTGCTACTCAAAATTCTTTTGGTCAAGAGCCCCATGTGATTGAACATTGTCATGGCTTGCTCGCCCATGGATGTCGCTGAAGAAAGCACTACTTGTGGGGTAGGCCGTGTAAGCATGAGGTTGATGAGCTTCATGTTGCTTTGAAATGCTGGGGACTCCTTGTGCCCGGCTGAAGTCATGAATTCATCTAAGAATAAGAGGAAAGGGGTGCTGGGGTTGTCAGTAAGGATCCTCACAGCTGCTTCAGTTGATGCCAAGATGATGGAATGATGATCAATTGGGTTCACGTCCTCATCGAATTTCTCTCTTGCAACCCGCGCTCTCATAGCATGCTCATTGTATTTCAAGATGAGCTGCCCCTGTCGCAGGTCGGCAAAAACAAAATGCACATCACAACTAGTCGTGGTGGCGCTGAAGAACATCTGCCCAAGCTCCACTCGAACAGTTCGCTGCTCACCAGGACACGCATATAGCAGCTTGGGGCCTTTCTGCAACAGACCAGCCAGCGCCAGGGTTGCTGCGGTCTTTCCGGCCCCGATGCATGCTTCATAGGTCAACACAAATGATTTGGATTGATGCTCACTGATAAAATCCAACAGTTGACTTTGGTGGTCAAACAGAGTTCCTTTGTCATTGAGCAACATCTTCTGAATGAACAGTTTGCGTTCTGCAGTGAAATATTCTGGGGACAAACCTTTGCAAATCTCAGCAGGAAGTTGTACAAGTGGACAAATGGGTGCAGCATTTAACACCTGGTCTGGATCATATTCGTCTTCCATATCCATGGCAGGGTCATACTCTTCTTCCATCTCCATGTACATCTTTGTTGCGTTCATGGCGCCCGAGCTGCCGTTGAATCTCGAGCCCCAAAGCTTCAAATGCGCACAATCCCTTTCCCATACCATCCATGTCTGGTATATTCACCTATACAGTATACAGCCTATATAAGACTAGGTCATGATGGTAAAGATACCAGCACCATGGATGGTATGGAGTTGGACGACTGATCCTCTTTCAAACGACTTGCGGCTAGTTGAGAGAGATGGATCCATCTGATTGGATACCACAAGAAACTATGCTTGCGAATCGGTCCTTTCGTCCATCTTCAACTTTCTCACTTCGCAACATTTTGTTCAGACATTTCAAGTGTGTCTACATGCACAGATACAAATTTCAAACGAGATATTTCAATTATCTACATGCGCAGACGCTCAGCAAATCGCAACAAAAAAATATATATCAGTACCCTCTGGTAAACATACAAAAAACTGTGGAAAATCACCATTCTTCATGGGAAGATCCACTATTTCAATGGCAATTTTCACTAGATTTTTGTATGTTTACCAGAGGGTATCTTTGTTGGTCGTTCAGTCTCCGCCAAGTCCATGCCAAGATACGCTCCAGTTCATCCCCACATCTGCAAGGTGCGCGAGGTAAAATCACTGACCACCTAGTTTCCAGGAGTCCCAGCTTCAGAGCGGATAATCACCATCTCATATATATATAATATAAATCTAAATATAAATATAATATAATGTAATATAATATAATATAATTTAAATATAAATATAAAAATAAATATAGATATAAATATAAAAATAAAAATGGTATAATACATATATAAATACAGAGGTTAGTATATAACCATGAGATATATAAACGCCATTGAACATATCAGCAATCATAACCAGTAGTACAACTTCCACGAAATTTCGGGCCACATCGAGCAACACCAGGATCTTTGGTATTTGTCATCCCAGCATCCACGACTCGATCCATGGGCTCCATTGGCTTCGAATTTCACAGCATAAAGCAGCTATAGAAGCATATAGAAACGTATCTGGTTTATCCTGGTTTATCCAAGATAACAAGACTGTTTGGACATGACTCAATGATACTCAATGACCATTGCATGCTGCGCAAGCGCAGCAACTGAGCAGTCCCAAACTGTGTCGGATCCGTCGTGTACATTGATGTATTGTTTTCCACATCTCGTGCGAAATCCGGCATTGATATCGACCATATTTTCATTACATTCCGACGATCAAACCTGGCCATGTAGAGAATCCAGCATTTACCCAATGGTTCCCCTTGTTTATCAAATATTTGGATGTTTCATTGCAAGAAAATATGTCTAAGATTGTCACGTGTCAAAGGCTATCATCAAATTATGGCAAAACATATGGCAAAACAAATGACCTCGTAGTCCGCCGTATTAATTGATGGGTTCCCCCTGTATATCAACCAGCGCTTGTTTTGTCATCGTGGCGTCTTGGCAAATTCCAGTCTGATCACCCCCATAACTTGTCTGCCTGGCTGAAAGTCAATGACTTTACCAACCTACCAACCTGAAGTAAGACAACTGAGCGGATTCCCATTTATAATCCATATCCTAACCATCATCTGCGGTTTCCAATTTGATTTATGGTTAATTTTAAAAAATGAGCCGTGAAGCTGATGATACTGAGGCCTTCCCCCCATTCTATTACCCTCTGGTAAACTAACATAGCTATTGAAAATGGCCATTGAAATAGTGAGTTTTCCTATGAATCGCATGGTGATTTTCCATAGTTTTCTGTACGTTTACCAGAGGGTATATCCCAGGAAATCCCATGAAAGATCCCATGAATTCCCATGACAAGTCACCATAAATTTCCATTAGTTTACCAACACTACCTACCCTCCGATAAACTAACATAACTATGTATAGGTAGGCAGGTATGTATGTAGGTAGGAATGTATGTAGGTAGGGATGCATATATGTGTCTTTGTATGTATGTGGGTAGGGGGGTATGTACGAGGGGGGGGATGGGGGGGGATAGTGGGAGGGGATAGGGGGGGGGGGCAGCCGGCGGACAGGATCATATATACGCGTGTTAGAAATGTTCAGTTTTCACGCGGTGTCACAGGCATGGTGCTGGTGTGTCACAACTCTTCAGCGTCTTTCCTGGGATCCAAGCTGTTGCCGTTTGCTGGCATCTTTCTCCTTGGCAGATAGGGCAAATGACAAGGCCTTTCAGGAAGTTGCGAGCCAAGTTCAATATGTTCAACTTCGATGACATTCGACAACTTGGGAACGCCATCTGCGGCCGCTTCAGTGAAAAGTGGCATCTTTTGTTCTATACCTGACTTTGCATCTTGGCATCTTTTTACATCCGACCCTGAGATCTGTAGATGTCAAATCACGCCAAATACATGGAAGCTGCACGTCAAGCAGCAAACCAAATTACGGAGGGGTCTCCTACATGAGATTTGCAGTCCAAGCATCTCTAGCTACTTCTCTCACCTGCTGCCGCAGGTCTGCCACAGTGTCTACTGCTTCTGTCCAAGCTTCCTGCACTTTCGAGCTTCTAAGCCGCTCCGAGGACAATAAATAAACATAAACAAATTATATAAACATAAACAAACTACAATCGATGTGCGTGATATGAATGGAACTGCATTAAACATCATTGAACTGATATGACCATATATGAATATATATGACCCGTCTCAGGTAGTTGAACCAAAATGTAGCTCTGAAATCTCGTTGAACAGCAACTTCATATAGCTCCATGCTTATTCGATCTTCTTTACCCATGTCCTTGGGCTCTCGCGTGATGCGCAAGCCTTCGACGCCGAGCATAGACATGGTAGACCCGATCAAGTGAGCTGCCTGTCAGTACCCCAGCCCCATCCACAGCCAACAACAGCTCCAACAGCTCCAACAGCTTCAACAACTCGCCATGATCGTTGCATGTCTTGTAATTGACTATCTTGCGACATCTTGCGGTATGAGATTGTATGATCTTGTATGGTGTAAGTGGTAATAAATTGCAATTGATTGAAATTGCATATGTGATTATCATTCATTATCTAGCACTATCTGTGTCTATCGCTTGTTTCCTACATTTTCCTACAGAAACACCACTCCAATCACAGGCCTTCAGAACTGGTTCCAAGGAATCTGTCGGGGAGTCCATGGTGGCCTTAGCCTCCAGCACGAGCTTCGAAATGGCCTATCGCAGCTATCGCAGGGTAACGTCGTTGCAACGTTGGAATGTGTTGGAATCCCAGTGGGACTGAAAGGGATGATTGACTTCATATACGACTTCTAACAATATCCGGTAATATCTTGCAATCGCAAGTGATGTCAACATATGTCAACATCATTGTCAATTTTTACATGTACGTATATGTCATATAGTATATATATATAATTATACGCCACTTGTGCACGTGTGATTTTTGCACGTGCAAGTCACACCTGGACAATAACAAACATCTCCAATACAGTCAGATACAGGACAGTACCTGTCATGTAGGACTGGTCAAAACATGTCAAAAACAATTGCTTGAGTTCAGATGGACCTTATTGACAAACACCTCAGCAATGGGTATACCTTGGTAGGCTTCAAAATTGGAGATTTCTCGAGTAAACACAGGATGGATAGATTCACAGGGCCAATCATGTGACCAAACGGCCCTGAGAACTGCAGATCTTGGACCTTGAAATTGGCGTTGCACTTGTACACCCCAGGGCTGGCTGATTCGGCTGATTCGGCAAACCACAACTATAGCTCCGTGGGGAGATCATGTCCGTGTCATGGGGCTAGCATGGGCTAGCCTCCACCTTCTTGGGCGTCGCAAAGTTGTCAAGGATCGCCTTGTGAATCTTGTCCTGGTGAAATTTCGCCAAGTTGCTGTCCTTTTGATGGGCCCTGGCTGGCCTGGCCCTGGCTGGCCTAATTACAGTGTTCTACGGCAATGCATCGAACAGTTTGTTACCTTGTTCGGAACAGATCTAATTAATGCATTTCATGATGATTTAATACATCTATTTAATGCATCTAGTACATCTTATGCATCTAATGCATCTCATGCATCTCATGCGCACGTTTGCTTGGAAACCGTGTCTGCTTGGAGCTATCGATAGCTTCCATCAGCTTCTCCTCACCTCCAGGTTGTCGCCCTCCACGGCCTGGAGTGCCACATTAGTGCCACATTAGTGTCACAATGTGCCGCACTGTCATGACTTTCTCATGATTTGCATGTCCGAAATTGTCCAGAGGGATCTGAGTATTTGTTCTGTTTTTGTCGTGCTTCTCGTGTTTTCTTGTTTTTTATCGTGATTTGTTCCGCGTTGCTCATTTTGAACTTCTTGCAATGAATCATTGTGCCACAAAATGTTAGCCCAAGGCCCTGGGTACCCTCACTTGGAGGACTTGCAGCCAAGAGACGCTGCCAGAACTCCAAACTTCCCAAGAAGTGTTTCATCTCAGCAGATCGGCAAGCGTCTCAACATATATCAAACAAGTCGGTTGGGGTAGGCTCAGTGTGAACCCGCCAGGCATCGGATTCAAATGCTGCAGCAGCTGGAGCACTCTGAGCGGGTTATGAGAAAGATCATCTAGAAATCCCCATACTTGGAAAATTGGGTATGGCTGTTCTGACGTCCAAAGTTGATGGAACACAGACTCGAACAAACAAACCAAGAAAGATTGGTAGCTAAAAGCTGGCTTGGGCGGCAGCCAGTAACACATAGCAAGGCTATGTGCATCTGCCCTTTTCATGGCGCCAGGAGATCATGAGCTGGAGCTGCAATGAACTGCAGGACTAGCATTCCTCACGAGAGTAAACTCAACTTCTTCGTGCATCCCCCGTGGAAGAGACTCGCGCCAACTCCATACAAGCAAGAGATAGTCGATAGAGATAAAATCAAGCTGGTATACGCTGATAACATTTGAGAACCCGCCCAATGTTGATGTGGCAAGCGTGCTTGGGGCAAATACTTCATGACGTTTTTCAAACATCTTCAAACAACGGGTGGATCTGTCCTCCACCACATCCTGCCGTTCTATTCTGCACTGCCTGGTCTTTGGCCATGGAGAGCCTAGTTTGACCCAGTCCTTGCACGGCAGGCTCGACCGAATGAACACGTCACAAACACGTACAAACACATGCCAACACCATAACATACATCATATAAAATCATATAAAATCATATATATTCAATATTATCTTATCCTTCAATCATATCCAGTATGCACAAAAAAAACTAATTATGTCATGTGCCATTCTGCATCCCATTGGTGAACATCTTTAAAATTCAAACGGGAACCCAGTTAAGTATGTTAAGTTTTCCATAGCTTAGATGCGTGGCAGTCGCTCCACACAGGATTGTCGCACATCGTCCAAGGGTCTTCCTTCTTCAACTCCGCTGCCCAGGTGCGCAAGGGGTCAATCTCCCATCTTCCGTGCGCGTGCAGTACTTGCAACAGGCCAAATGGCCTGAGCCAGCGCCTCTCCAACTTGTAGCGCCCTGACCAGTAGCAATAGGTGAGCCTCGGATCACACCATGGAGATGTGCTGGTGGTTTCATAGGGCAGCATTTCACCTATTCTTCTCAAGGGTGTTTCTAACTGAGTGCTTCCCACTATTATGCAAATAGACAAAATTGTTCACAATAAAGTCCAAGAAACACATAATAAAGACGAATTATTTACCCATACACGCTGGGATCTTCCTGATGAATAACCACCTGGAATTTCCCAAAGGGAAAACAAAAATACACAAAAACTATCAGTGCTCAACTTCACAGCTGCTGGTTCACTTGGTTTCTGTTTCCATTGCTTCCTTCTATATGTTCTATTTGATGTGTCATAATGTCATATAAAATTATCCTGGCACCGCCAACACACTCCAGAGAAAACCTGAAACCCGAGAAATCCAACAAATTCACCCAAAAAAACAAAAATCCGAAAGGATCCAACCTTTTCCCGGGCCTCTTTGCCTGCAGGGGTCTGGCTGCACTCCCCAATCCAACTTTTGGGCTATCCATATCCCACCCAAATCCGATCCAAACCCAACGAAATTGGGAAGGATTCACAAACACCCACCCCCCCAAAAAAAAAATGATTATGTAACTTCCACACATCCACTCTCAGATGTCTACACGCCAGCTCTTATTTTTCAACCGAATCGCTTTGTTTAAAAGCCAAGCCTTTTAAACAAAGATAGTTGCAGTGAAATAAACGTTTGTTGGTCTTCGCCAACTGCCCTAAAAAATCCGGCAAAAAAATGCCATCTATACCCTATCCAAATCAAATCCAACAGAAACATGTAACAACAAACAGAAAGCAATGTTTGGATACTTTCGGACTATAGCAGGGAATAATAATAATAATAATATTTACTACAACAACAACAACAACCACAACCACAACCACAACCACAACCATCCCAACAACAACCATCCCAACAACAACCATCCCAACAGAAACCCACACAAAAAAAAAGAATTTAAAAATATCTAAAAAGGTCAGAGCACCCAGCCACATTTCCATTGGAACAGTGTGTGCTCAAACAGAACTCTGCGCAAGACCAAAGCTCAGAATTCACCACCGACTCCCGAACCTTTCATCACTGGCCACTTCAATGGGGGCGTGGCTACTGCACGCCGTTTCATCTCTTTGCGGGTCTAATGTTGTGGCCAGCCCAATACCCACCAAGGTTTACGGATACACCTCCCCATCAAGCTAAACACTCCAGAGAAAACCTACATTAACCCCAATTAAATCCCCAAAGCATCCCATAGAACTTCCTTGGGGTTGGATTGCGGTTTTCAAGGTTTTTTCAAGATCTTCTATTCTATGCTATGGAGTGGATTTGCGGCAAAACCGCCCCTCAGAAGTACTAAGAAGCATCCCCCTTAGCCATCCTAAGATGAGTGCATTTGATCTCTGAAGGACCGAATGACCAGTACATTGATCCAAACAGAACCAACAAAATGGAACATATGTTGGCACCTGGTGGTGTGATTTTTGATATTTGTGCTTGATCTACAAGCCCTTTTTCTACAAACGAATAGTTCGCATTTCTTCTTGCCAGGTAGCGGGTGTAGCATATCCGGAGCGAACGCCTCCTGAGGCCGGCGGGTCAGCAAAAAAGAAAGAAGCGGCTGACAGCGGGTGATTCAACATATAAAGCGCTCAAGTTTCACTACTTATTCACATGACTTGAGTATGAAAAAGCATTCCACAGTCGAACTTGGGAGACCAATTACATGTGACCACAGACCCTTGAGCCTAAGATAGGTGCCGAATGTATGGAAGAAATTTCACTTCAACTTTGAGCGAAATGGTTGAGCCGTCGCGCCAGTGTATGCTGTTGCACGTCCTTTGGTATCATCTTCTCGACATCGAAGTTGTCATGATCCAGCCACGGCGTTGACTCCATGTCCCCTCGCAAAGAGAACGCCACCTCCGGACGAGTTGGCACATGGTGGCACTCAGTTTCTTCGTTGTGGGAAATGCATACAATCAGAAATGTAATGTGCTCATACGTTTACACCCGAAGTATCCTCATTCCGTGAGCAACTGTTGAGTGTGGCATTTTACGCGTCACCATACGTCAGAGTGTCTTCTCCAAACTGGCCAATTAATTAATTCATGCTGCCAATTCTTGGTCCTGTGTCTGAAAGTTTGTCCCACAAATCCACACTTAGTCCGTTGAAGTATGCCTAACGGCCTAACGCTTCGACATGTTGGAGAAATTGCAATGACGAGCGCAAGTAAAAGCGCCAAGGAAAAGGACCCTAGTTTTTTTCTGCAAGGCTGGACCGGAGATATCTCTTCATCCAAATCTGCGCGCCTTTTCTCTGATTTTGAAGGCAGTTGATAGGGTCACTGCCACTTCTGGACACACCATGCGGAAGGACAGCCTCAGGCTGAAGTAGCAGAAGTAGCAATCAACAAAAACAAAACCTCATAATCCTCATAGATGGCATCAGAAAGCCCACGCACTGTGTAATGCTGCCGAGGCACTTGTACCCCGAATCCATATGGCTCCAACCAGATGAATCCAAAACCACCTCAATATTGTCTTGAGTTAAATATCTTAGTAATATCTTGGAGTGCCCTAAACATCTTTCAATCAGCTACATCTTCAGAAACTTCGTATCCAGCTAGAAACCAAGTTGTGGCAAGCAAAAAAACGATAAAACTTGGCTGAATGAAAACCAAGACGCAACTAGGTTCGAGGAAGAAGTCATACCCTCGATCATCATGATGCATGATCTGACAAAAGCCTTGACAATGGGACTTATGAAGTCGCGTTTCAAAGCCTCAGGGATCAATCGCATCTCCTTTGCCACCTCGGCTTCACAGAATTTGCGGGACACTGGTTAAAGGGTCCATACAAGGGACCTATCACCAAGTAATTACATGGCCAGCGGTGGGGAACAAAACCCGACTGAAAAATGTCACAAATGCATACAAATGGTGCTATGCGGTGCTGGAATGCTCCAAATGTTCAGCTTAGCCTCTCGTTCCATGCGGTAGTACTCGTGGTCCTCCGGGATCGCTGACAGGTTGATGGGCATGTTGACATAGATGAAGGGCCTGGCGGGGCCCTTAGGCCTCTCCCGGCCCACTGCAAGCAGCGTTGGGAGCTTTTCAAGTTCCCCAAACAAAACATTCACATTTGGGGCTCATATGGTAAGGGGATGTAAGGGGTAAGGGTTTGAGACCCAAGGTGGTTGCATACGTGTTCACCTTTTTTGGTGACTGGCCTCACAGGCTCATGTGGACTGCCCTCAGGTCGCGGCTCACAAAGAAGCGAGGGGATTCCAACCTGCACGAGCCAAGCCACTTGTTCACAGCCGCATCCTTTGTGAAACTAAGCTGATCCAAGTTGCTTCAACATGATTTCAACATGATCCATTGATATCCACTGCCTGATTAAGAAAGGTCACATAGAAGAAATGCTTCTGCAGCTCTTGCTGATCTTGAGGTCGCCTGAGGTCAGATTCGGATCTCGTGCCCCCGGGCACGACAACGTAGTTGGTGCAACAGCGCACCGAATGGCAGAGGGCAACGGCAACATATAGGATGAAGATTTTCAGCACACAGGTAATTACTGTAATTCCATCGGCACACCCACTTGAGGAAAGAAAGCTTGACCCCCACGCAACTGTGCAGCCCAAGCACCACCAGGTCTGGCCGCTAACGCCCGTTTCAAACCAGTCGCGGTTCCACGGAATTGTGAAACACCTAGAGGACAGTTGCCGTGACGATGGTTTCTGATGGACAAAGCATCCTGGGCACTACCTACCTCGCATATTGACCCAAGCACTTTACTCTTTGTTTGCCCAGCCGGCACCAGTCGAAGGCTACACAACTCACTCATCTACGTGAAGGTGGCATGGGGATAAAGGACAGGAAGCTTCCATCCAAAAGCTGTTCAAATTTCATGGCATTCATAGCCTCAAAAGGCCTAAGGCTTTGTCCGACTCAGGCATGTCTAGGTGCCACATGGCAAATCACATGCCAAACCACAGGCCACAGGCTCCCCTTCTTGATCCTTGTTGCAAGTCCTAGTTCTTCTGGCGTGAGCTTACTCAGTATGGACATGTATGGGCCCCCCAAACCCGAGTGTGACAGGAGTACGGAGTATGCCACAATATTATGAACAAGTGTCCGAATAGAGAAATATAATGAAATATCAAGTTCCAAGTCAATGGCAACGGTCGGACCATCTTGCGACTCACCATCCACCATATTGACAAAATACTGCTTCAACATCTGTAACTCAACATCAGCTGAAATAGTTGTATACATGTATGTTTACATATGCATATATATATGTATGTATATATATATATGTATATATATGTATATATATATATGTATATATATATATGTGTGTAATTATATATATATATGTAAATATATGTATATACTGTATGCATGTATGTGTGTATAATAAATATATATATATTAACATACGTGGTGCGATTGTGTGCGTGTAATATTGTGTAATCATGTGTGTGTGCATCGATAATGTACATGCACAGACTGATATGTATATGTATATCATGATATTACATCACCCTAGCTGACAAACCTGCCTGCCGGTGCGAGAAGAGATCCGAGACTGCAAGCAGTGCAGCTGAGACATATTGAAACCAACATGATTTGATGCACATCACTACAGTAGGGACTAGGTTTCGCTTTGACTTAGGCAAAGGCATTTGAAAACACTTAATGGTGACATGAACGTCTCAAAGCAGATTTGAGGATAAGCACTGATAAACACTGTCATGTCATCCCAATGATGAAGCATCGGTATGCACCATTCGCATCCATTCACATATTTCTCAGCCCACCACGCACCAATGCACCATTCACAGGATGCCTACCTCTGCAAAGAATTTGTGGATTTCTTGCAGCCGGTATTCGTCCCCCTCTTCCAAATCGGAGTACCCGCGGTGGGCTTGCACCAATTTGAAGAGAGACGGTGGACATGGCATCGCAAGGGTATGACGACTAGGGCTATTGTGGAGGGGAAGGATGGGGAAGGGCACACAGCCCTGAAATCCTACAGTACATTGCTGTGAACATGGTTTTGTAGCGGGCTGGCTATGCCATTTCCAAAGTTTCCGAAGCTTCTTAAGTCTTTAAGTCTTAGTTGCATGGGCGAGAATGTGGAACCTCTGTATATAGTATGCAAATGAGCAAGGAGGTCATGACAAATCATGTACGGGTCGGCAGTTGCTTGGGAGTGAGTTCGAAGCTTGCTGGCCTGTCTTGAATCCCACAGTTCATGTCCTAAGAGCTGGGATGCAAGCACGTAAGACGTAAGTCAAACATCTCCTGTTGCCGTCACTATCTATCTGTGATTCAATGGCGACAGGCAAGCAGAGTCGCAGCATGGAAATGGCACTGCCAAACACCTCTCAAATATATAATCCCGCACCCATGATGCTTGCGTTCTGGCGCTCAACTGGATCATGCCGACCGCAGTAGCATTTTTTATTTTTGACAACAAGTCTAAGTGACAATGATTGAAAATCATTGAAAACAAGTGAAGAAGATTGAAAAAGCACAAATCGTTCGAAAATATCTACAAGGAAAATGGATGGAAAAGGGATGAAAAGGGTTTCAGATATCTATCGCTCAGCACGTGTCAACTGCTAGTGAACTGCATTGAAGCCAAACTCCTGAGTTTTTGCCCGCATCCAGGCTGAGAAATGTCAAGAAATACCGCACTTAAACTTTGGTGCAGTGAAGTCGGGTCGCCGAATGGAGTCGCTGGCTGCACACATAAAATAGCATAATGTAGTCAAAGCATAATATAGAGCTATAGCTGTCTATAGCTTGGATCATCGACTACAATACTGGTCCATCTGGCACCGTGCAACAACAGCCACTATGTGGGCACTAGGGTTGCGACATGCTGTGACTGTGTGAGTGTGTCGTCGCCCTGGACAAGAGTCATAATTATAGGAAACCATGACGACAATCGTGAGCGTCTACTGATTGCATCATACTGTAGGTTGCAGTGGTCTCAATGTGGTCTCCAAGTAGACAAGGAACCAAAGTATCAGGAGGTACCTACCATATATAAGGCCTATAAAAGGCCTATGCAAGGGAATATCCCCACAAGAAATTGTCTTATATGGTACAGTACCTCCATTTTAGGATCCTGAAAATCCCATTGAAAGTGTTCAAGAAATCCGTTTCTGTCCATGTACAAGTACAAGTCCAAATCGAATGAGTAGCTGCAGTACCGATGAATTCCATGAAAAGTTCAAGAACAAGGACTACAAAGTCTATCAAAGTCTGCTCATGTCTGATCAAAAGATGGCTTCTTCACAACAAGACCATCATCTTTTTGCCTCCGACACTATGAAATGTGCATCCATCACCATCGGGTGTCCCCTACACAACTTCAAGATCAAGATCTTCAGCCCCAGGAAGCAGCTGGTTACTCTGCAGGAATCCCATTGGATCCTTGCTCCCGCAACTTGGCGGAAAGCGCAACGTGCAGCTGGTTTTGCAGTTGCTGACTCCAGCGACGTGGAGGAGCAGAATCCAATTGATCCTTGGGAGTGATGGGGATGGTGGATGTAGGCTGCCCCACCCTCTGGGAGCCAAAGGATGGCCAAAGCGATGAAACGATGTCAAATTGAGTCCGTGTCCCGCCAGTTTAATGCGGAATGCTTCTGACTGAGACCCAATGTAATCGCATGATATTATATACAATTAATATATATATATATGACATTGATTCCATAATATGTCTTTACATGGCAAGTAGTCAGTGCTGCTGAAGGTTGTTTACCGTTCATGACATTCCACCTGGGCTTTGCCAAGAATCTGGAACAAGGCCCGCTTGCAGCATGAGCTTCATGGCTTCGACAATCTGTACGCAGTTTGATGGCTGCAACCTGCACTCAGATGAGTCGAGCGCTGGCTCCAAAATGTGACTTGCCTGCATCTGCATATTATAGCTTATTACAACCTATACTATGCGCATATCTATATAATTCTATATATAATCATATATACAGAATATATACTTGTCATAACTGGAATCACATGGAATCACAAGCCAAATGATGTTGCCAGCCACTGGCAGTCGCAGGTCGTGTAGGTTCTGACTTTTGAAACCAAATGCTGTAAGGTCCCGGCAGATCAGAGCCCCAGGAAGCCTGACCGCTGCAGATGCGGAACAGGCGAACAGACGGCTATCATAACTATCATTGAGATCACTCCTCCAAGGCATACCTAAGACAAGCTCACTGATTCTCCTAGTGGGCGCCCGTTTTTTTCCCCTCTTTTTCTTAATTAATTGCTTGGTCCATCTGTGTCCATCCCACCATCCCCCTATCATCCCATGCCGCCCATGCCTGCAACAAACGCCGTAGCGCCTCCTCGAGCCAAAGCACCAGGAAGATTTCAGGCTTCGGCCCTGGCTTCGTGGAGGCCTGCTCCACTGCACTGCCATAGGTGCGCCTCGCAGAAAAATTCTTGGAGAAAATAGGAACTTTATGAGAAGATCAAAGATGTGTGTATATATATACTGTATTATATATAACATTACAGTATATAACATAATATACAGTATCTGGGCACCTTAGAAGGGATTCACACTAAAAATCAGCTGTCATTTTGGGGTAGTTCATGGTGGTTCTCAATTATATCCGTCAGCACCAAGAAAGAAAAGTCCAAATAGCCAAGTGAGATTTCCATTGCAGGAAAAACCCACATGCAAGAACGCTGACAGCAGATCCCATTCGTCGGATTTCGCCCGAAATGCCACCAAGGCTCCAGAGGTATTTCCACAGCCTGACTTGCAACATGCCTCTTCATCCATAGATCGTCAGCGTCTGTGATTTTATTTTGTGGACTCCGGCGGTAACTATACAGAATAAGTAAAGAATGAGAATGATAAAGTTCGCCAGTTTAATCAAATTGCCGTTTGTTTATGTTTGCTTGGGATTGTTTTAGATTTTAAATGATTTTATGTATGGAAAATCACCATTTTTAATGGGAAAATCCACTATTTCAATGGCCATTTTCAATAGCTATGTTAGTTTACCAGAGGCTATATCCCATTAAATCCCATTAAATCCCATTAAACCACCATTTTCCTATGGTTTTCCTATGGTTTTCCTATGGTTTTCCTATGGTTTTCCTATGGTTACATCATGATCACATACGATCATCCCAAATCCTCCACTGCACCCGCAAGGAGTCCCAGTCCGACGAGTCCCAGGCCAGTTTCACAGCCTGGGAAATCTCCCAGAGGGATGGATTTGGGATGATTTATCTCTATAAAATATCTACTTAAATATATATATATATATATCTACACTACTGATATATATATATATACATACTTATATGTATATATACTTATATGTATATACTGATATATATATATATTCTTTTACATGTACACTAATATGTGTGTGTATATATATATATCAAAATTTATGTATATACTTATATGTATACACTTATATATTTACTTATATATACTGTTATGTACTTATATATACTTGTATATACGTCTATATGCTTCTATTTACTTAAATATACCTATACATACTTATAAATACTTATATATAGCTATATATACTTTGATATAAATACTTACATATAGATATACTTATATATATATACAAGTACATGATACATATATATATATACTTTTATACATATTTACTCATATATATATAGTCATATATACTTAAATATATATATATATACACTTACATATATACTTATATATTCTTAATATATATATATATATGCTTATATATATATATATGCTTAAATATATATATATATAGTCTCGTGTTCCGTGTTCCTACCCTCCCCCCTCAATGGTATGGGCCTCCAGGTAGCACCCCCTTCCCTTCTATTTGCAAGCTATTGGCAGCATTTCTGAGGTCAGGCCTCGTATTTGCTTGGTTTTTGCAGCGATTCTGACTACCAGCCTCACATGTACTAGGTACATGCTACCTTTTAGACGACCTACGTAGCACACATACTCCCGCAAAGTACCTACGTGCTATCGATAGTCATATATATATGTGCTATGTATCTACTTCCTAAATATATATTTATATACATACATATTGTAGATACATATATATATTTATACATACATATTTACATACGCATATATATATACATATTCGTACTTAAATATACATATACATATACATATATATATACAAATAAATACATACATTCACATATATATATATATATGTATATATATATATATATATGTACACATACATAATATATATATACATATCAGACAATAAATATATATACACATGTATATATTTACACACATACATATTTACACACATACATATTTACACACATACATATTTATATATATAAATATATATTTTTGTATATATATATACGCAGTACCACACCCCCACCACACCACAGGGGGGGAGGGCGACAGTACTATGGCTGACCCATGACCATGGCGGGGGGGGAGGGGGGTTGGAACGCTGGACCATATATACTTATTTATATTTATACTTAAATAAACATACTTATATATATATATATATATGTATATACTTGTATAAATATACTTATATGCACTTTTTGAAATATATATATATATACAGTCTTAAATATAGATATACTTATGTATACACACAAATATGTACATATATATACTTAGAAACACACTTATATATATATATATATACTTGTATAAATAAATATATATACACTTATTTCAACAGTTTTATATGTAATACTTATATATATACACATATATACATATGTATATATACTTATATATATATACACTTATTTAAATACTTTTATATATATACTTATTTATATATACTTATATATATATACTTATATCTATATACTTATATCTATATACTTAAATCTATATACTTAAATCTATATATACCTATATATGTATACTTATATACATATATATATATACTTTTATGCATATACTTATATATATACTTTTAAATATATATATATACACTTATATATATATACTTATATATATATATACATATATATATATATACTTTTATATATATATATATACGTTTATATATATATATATACTTATATATATATACGTTTATATATATACTTATATATATACTAATATTTATATATATACACATATATTCTGTGTATATATATATGTGTGTGTGTGTATTCAAATTACATCATCAAACATAATCTTTCTAGCTTCCCGAAAAGATGGATTTGAAATCGATGTGGGATGATTTGGGATTGACAGCAGTGGACCTGGGCTCTGCACCATCTGCGTCCGGGGCATCGGCCGGGGGCCGTGATCTGAAGAGATCTGAGTTGAGTTTCCTGACAGTGTCATGATTTTTGCTGACTTTTGCTTACCCTCTGGTAGTTTAACATAGCTATTGAAAATGGCAATTTATAGTGGATTTACCCATTGAAAATTGTGTTTTTCCATAGTTATGTTAGTTTACCAGAGGGTAGATTTGCTTCAAAAGCATCTGCCTGATTTGAACTCAAGATATTCACCGCCCAGATGGTTGTGAAGCCAAGACGACTCGGAGCGTCATCGCATCACGACTTGTCACACGAGTTTCGCAAGTGGTTGTGTTTCAATGATTTCAATGGGATAGGCATGGACAATGCGAGTTAGGGGCAAACGAACAAACATGCTCTATGATCAAGCATGTATGAACTGATATGTTTCTCCAAGCAGTTGTTTTTGACAGTATCCAAAAGAACTTCCTATCGGGTTTCAAACTTTAGGACCCAATATCATCCAATATCCACAAGTGTTTAGGGGTCACTCCTTTTGGACCATGGTGCACAAGGTCTGCATTGCGGTCACCAAAAATGCCTGGTTGGGTCTCACTAACATATGCACCGACACAAAGCCTGATAATACTGTTGCCATTCAGTTGCAGTATCAACTTCGGACTTTGGGCACAACCACAGGAACGTGGAAACTGTCTACTCCAACCAGCTATAGCTGGGTCCAAAGCACGACGACCTGCGCCTGTCGCACTGTTTTTTCGAGTCGAGTAGGGCGATTCGGGCGGCGTGGTAGATCCGCGCTTAAACGATCGTCACGAGTCGACAAGCGGACGGGTCCAGTGCACCGATTACAGTCGGGTGCAGGGGAATAGGATAACAATTCACAAACCTCAAATCTGATGAGTTGTTAGTACATAAGATGTTGGTGCTGGTGCTGGTCCCCGTACTGAAAAGCCTGTGGTCAATGCGGGGTCGCACAACATCACGAAATGGCAAGCATTCCTTGAGTTCCACATATGTATATATATATACTATTATACTTACATATATACATATATATATATATATTCCACGCCATTCCCAAAAGATAGAAAAAATGTGTGTATATATATATATATATTCATGGCTTATAAATTCATATCTGTTAGTTTTACTGAGATATGATGTTCTATTTGTTGGTTCTATCGATGGTGCTCTCTATAGTCCTTGAGACCTCCAACACCGATGGCCAACGGCTCAGGGTTTTATGATGTTCAGCCACTATCATATGATCGGATTGACCTACCCTATATATGGTTAGTATGGTTTAATGTGGTTTAATCCCATTGGTGATCATACTTAGTTACTTATATATCTGATTGGTGGTTGACCTACCCCTCTGAAAAATGATGGAGTTCGTCAATGGGAAGGATGACATCCCATATATAAAGTGGAAAATGAAAAATGTTTGAAACCACCAACCAGCATTGATACGAGAACCATCTATGAGAAAGATACTGTCAGATACGCGCGGAACCAGGGTGGAAGCCTGATGCGAATCGGGTTCAGGGCCAAGATTCATGGTGGGAACCACACCAGCAACAATATTACAAGTAGCATGTGTCTCACGGTTCAAAAGAATTGGGGCCATTCCTTTTTCCTGTTTTTCTTAGAAAAGATTCCGCAAAAACATGGCAGTAGATTAATAGATTACAAGTATATCTGGTTGGTGGTTTCAACCCCTCTGAAAAATATGAGTTCGTCAGTTGGGACTATTATTCCCAATATATGGAAAGTCATAAAATTCCATGGTTCCAAACCACCAACCAGTACAAGTATCACGAAGTCCAGATCCCCAAGTCTGGCAGAACAATTTCAGTCCACTGGGATCCCTCTTGGAAAACCCCCGGTGGGTCGTGTGCTTCACGCAACCGCGTACCGAGTTAAACGACGCTTCGCTCAGAAAAAGGCAACCTCTCCACTTGAACCAAGCGCACCTTCAGTGACTGAACCAGCCTTTTGAAAAAGCCCATCTCAGAATTGCTTGAATCAGGAACCCAAAGTTTGGAGGAAAATCCACCGCATTGTTGATACATATTCCCCATCCGGTGTAAGATTGTCAACCGGGGACCATTTTCCAACGAACCTTTCAATGCGCGGTCAAAAAGTGGAGAGTCGGCTCCTCGGCATCTTTCTACCAAGGCAATTGATTTGCATGCTCGAAACGTGGTGCCAGCATCGCGATCTCTAGAATATAATCTTGCCCTTTGGGTCCAATCTTTAGATAAACGATTTTTATAAAAGAAACAATGGCTGATTTGTTAAGGAGTGATCATGCAGTTTGCTGATAAGAAAGAAAGTGCTTGGATCAAGCCTGAGATGGGCCATCATTCCATTGCAATTGTGGGTCTCATTGCCAGTCCACCACAGTCCGCAGGCGAGCAAGTGGAGTCGGTGTGGATAGGATTGTCGCTCCAGGATTCCAAGGATTATCCCACCTTCTCCGCAAATTATTGCTGTTTCATGCCTATTTTTCATGTGTTATCCCCATCATTTGATGAGATGGCTGTTCTTTGTTGGCTCATGTTGCCATCGTCATTACCGTTTCGGAAGTGAAATCCTATGGCTGCAAGTTTGAAGACTGGAAAACTTGGGCAAGTGGTCCACCAAGATCAAGACAACTGGCTGAAAAATTCAGTGCGTGGGCCGTGGCCCCTGCTCACAGAGGTGCGCTGGAGGTGCTGGAATTAACCCAAGAAGAGTGGGATTCAACTCACGAGAACACAGCTTTAGCCAAGAAAAATGAAGATTCAACTATTCAACTTCAGGGGATAGAATTTGATTTCGGGGATTTCACTTTTCCAAATAGGTCACGGTGATAGTCACAAATGATCGAGATTTCCTTGGCATCTTCGATGGCAAAGAACCAGGATTTTCGAACCCCCGGCCACCCCTGTGCGCAGTGCGGATTCCGCTGTAAAATGATTGTGACGCCATCTTTTCAGCGTCCAAATTTCCAGTCACACCAGCCTCAGTGTCACAGCAGTCGGACGTGTGTTTTGCTTGCAGCATTCCACCATTGGGTCTCAAAGTAATCAACCTACAGCTTGCTAAAAACACAATTTGCTCAACGTCTTGGTCCTTGGTCAAATCAGTCAGAGTCCCAGGATTCACCTTGGTCCAGAAAAAAAATGAAAAACCATGGAGATTTCGGAGCCTCCAAAAACTTGACTTTTTAGGCACTCAGGCACCCATCTGGATAGATGATCCATTCCAAAACAGGGATATTACCCTCTGGTAATGACTAACAGTTTGCGAACTGGAAGCCATGGCCCAGTGAAATAGTTGATTTACCTATTAAAAATGGTGATTTTCCAGTTCACTATGTTGAATTACCAGAGGGTATAAAACCTAGAGCATAGCTAGGGCCAAGTTTGAACATGAAAAACATGTTTCCATGATTCCTTCCATGGCTTTCAACGGGCACCGAAGAGCCTAAAAACCCAACCACTCCAGTCGCCTTGTCTCTCCTCATGCTCCCACGGCGCTGGGTGCCACTTCAGCGGCGACTTCCGTCTTTCCTGCAGCAACTTGTCGAATGGGAAAAAAACGGATATGAATGATCCACAACAGATCTCATTTGTTTGTTGGGATATCACTAATCGTTTATATATGATAATGATATCTCCATTAATTGATAATATAATTTGGGAATATTTGGGATATCAATGATTGTTTATGATGATATTATCAAACCATCCATTTTTGGGGTATCAATCATATTGACCCATACCCAAATTAGTCCAACAGTCGGGTGTCCATCAGAGTTACGATCCAAAGGATATCCCAGCAGTGGAAAATGGGAAGATATCATTGCTTCCTCATCCTGGCAACCCAAACTGCCTTCTTGGATGCACGTCCAGTGAGTTAGAAAGCGGTAGATAAACCCATATGTAAATATAACCTAGATGTAACTGGCTTACAACGTTTCAAACTATTAAACATTCGGAATCAGCCCGTTAAACCCCATCACATCAAAATTACATCCCCCTTCTATCCCGGTATTTCATATAGTATACAGTATCCCCATATTTGGTCGCTTCTTGTTGACCCTGCTTTACTCCCACTATTGGCAAATCTCCATCATTCCCTATCATTTGACTGATAATATATATATATATATATGTATGTATATATGTATGTATTATATATATATGTGTGTGTGTATGTATAATGGTATGGTGGTTGATCTAAATTCTTTCATCCAGAGACGGCCAGTCTTCACATGTTACTTTTGCAAACTTCATGTTTATCTTTCGCGGGACCCATGTGAGGCAACAGTAACTTACGAAGACTCCATCATTGACTGCCGAATTACTTAGATTACTTCATGATAGCCTTATAAACCATGCAGTTAGCATCACAGAATCCCTTCTTAGGACAGATTGTAGCTGCAGGGTATATATATATACATATGTTATAGTTGATGATTTGTAAGGCTTACTGGGCCACCCTCTTCAAAATGCAGTTTCACTTTCGCCCGCTCCTTCGCTTCACTTTCACATAATGAGGTCACAGACCAATGAAGTATGGCAAGAGAATAGCCATTAGTTAGACTCAGTCTCCCCCTATTATGGGAACACCAATGCATCCATGAAGCCCAACAAAACCAACTCACTTGAGCAGTGTTCAAGCCACATATTGTCATTCCACTGTACTGATTGGATCTGGGTTAGGGATTCCTGTTGGACAACAATCCTCGATCTATCAGTACCAGTATCATACTAATCATCAACCACCCCTAGGCCCCAACTTCTGCATGACATCCCACTTTTCTTTAAAACCCCGGTGTAAATGATGGCAGAATCCGAGATAAAACATATAAAGCCAAACCATTCAACAAAACCTCAACTTTTCCTGCGTCTCCATAGCCGCCCTTCTGCGGCTTGGTTGTGTTGGCCGTTCCTGGAAGATGGCGCCAGGGGGTGCCCTCCATGTTTGGGTATGCTTGGGTCATCAGAGAGCATCTGGCCTTGCAGTAAGGTTACTGCCAACATTGGATGGTATAGTTATCATTGTTTTCCTCTGAAAATTCCGAAAATGCATTTTTGGGGGCGGTACATTTCTGACACGCCTGGCCATGATAATACCATTCCTGTGTCAATCTATATTCTCCCATTCAATGGTGGTTTTTCAAAATGGGGGATCCCCAGTCGTCACCATAGGTTTACCAAGTCATGGTCGTCACCATACGACTGGATGACTGGGACTAACCCGACAAAACGGAGACCTCCACATCCTGTTCATATGTGGATGGGTCAAAACCGATGGGAAATTTTACCATTGGAAAAATCAACATCCATAGCCATATCCCAGCTATAACTTTAGGCTACCTAACTTTAGGCTGCCGTTTAAAACCCATAGGCATATCATACCCACTATATTCCCATCATATTCTCATGATATTCCCATGATATTCCCGTTCATATGGTGGTTTCCATAAATGGGGGTACCCCAACATGGATGGTTTATTTCATGGAAAATCCCAATCTAAAATGGATCAAAACTGGGGGTACCCCCATGGATTGGAAACCTCCAATTGTATCCCATTGTATCCCCATCATGTTGGTGATTGACTCCATCAATGTGACATGTTCCAGCTTCCTCCTGTTTCAACCCCAAATCAACCATAAGGTAATTTGACATAGCTATTGAAAATGGCCCATTTAGTTCGTTGATTTACCTATTAAAGATGGTGATTTTCCATGGGTTTTTGTATGTGTATCAGAGGGAAATCAATTACATCATCCCATAAAATATCATAAAATATCATGTTGGTTATTGACTCCTATTGGCTCCTATTGGCTCCAGTATTCCATAATCATCCTCTAACTAATTCAATAATTCCATATAATTCCCACGTGTTCAATCAATAGCCCACTATTATCCCCATATTTACCAGATGGTAATCAACCATTAAATCATTAGATCCCATTAAGTCACCATAAACTCCCATAAAATCCCATCAGAAGTACTCCCTTTGGTATATTTACCAGAGGCTAACTGGTTGGTGGTATACCTACCCCTCTGAAAAACATTAGTCAGTTGGGATGATTACTCCCAATATATGGAAAAATAAAATTCATGTTCCAAACCACCTATCAGATAGATATATCTACTATAACTATGGAAAATCACCATTTTCAATGGGTAAATCCACTGTAAATCACCATTTTCAATAGCCCCATGTAAATCATCCATAGATTTCAGCCCCATCAGAACCCCCCGCGCCTGCCGCCTTCGGCTCCTCCGCCTTCGCCGCGGAAGCGTCGCCGCTGGGCGACTGCTCGGCCGTCTCGGCAACGGCCTCGTCGGCGTCCTCGAAGGCTTCCAGGCCCTCGAGGCTGCCGGGGCCGTTGCGCAGATAGCCCAGGCCTTGGATCCAAAGGCTACGAAACGGCTACGAAAACCTGGGAAAATCCATGGAAAATGATGGGGAAATGAGGTGGAAAACGGCTGACCTAGGAAAATCCATGGAAAATCCATAGGAAGTGGAAAAATTTCGGACAACTTGGGGAAATCTGTGAATATCTGTGACTAAACTCATGAATCAAGAGCGAATGAATATGACTCATAACTGTCACAACCATTCATAACCATATTTTCACACCATTTTTTGACTCTAGTTATCTTCATCCCTCCCATGAAACAAACAAATCATCCAAGGTGCTGCAAATGGCATATTCACCAGGAAAGAAGACCTAGCGCCGGGTCCGTGGGAGATCTGTGGATCTTCCCGAGTGATTCTTTGGTCAAAAACGGGGAGGCTACCCCTGATTCATTGCAAGTGTATTAGAATTCAAAGCTTGAAAATATGGGTTCTTGGAAATGAAGACGCTTTTTTCACCAGAAATTTGTGGCAATTCATGGCAGGAGATGATACTCCACTGGGGAAGTTCCAACTGTCCGACCAAGAAACGCGGTAGAATCCGTCTTTGGAAGCTTTGCAGGGCACCTCCTGGGGCAGACGGACCACAGTCAGATCCCAAAGCGCTGTTTGGTTGATGATTTGGAATGATTATATAATATGGATTAATATGGATTAATATGGATTAATATGGATTAATATGGATTAATATGGATTAATATGGATTAATATGGATTAATATGGATTAATATAGTTAGGTCCCATTTAAATGATTGAAAGAATCCGATGAAGATGGATGATTTAGGATTTTTTAGGATTCTCGAGAATTGATCTGGATGATTAAGAGCTGCTTGGAATTTAGGGCTACCCCCAATTTGAGGAAATCTCCATATAGCGAAATCACCAAATCGATCCCACGAGATGTGAACATGTTGTTGCTTGAACAGGGCAAGGATGTCCCTGTGTGCGTTTCACTGCCCATCCTTTCTTGGCCTCCTTTGAGAGAAGAACTTACTGGAAACCCAGCATGTTTAGACCCTGCAAAGATGTAAAAGTTCTGATAAGCACTGATAAGTATAATTTAAATATACATCCTGAAACAGCATATATAAACTCAGATCTAAACTCGGGTATCCAAAAAAAGGACAAAGTAAATCTAGGACAAAAATGAAGCACACGCCAATGATATCACTTAAAAACACATCCATGATATTCCAATATCAATCATATCCTCGGCTCCTGTCCGGTGGCGTCCAAGATTTTGAAGGTGGCATCGAAATTCAAGCCCAGATCCTCGCCCACATGTTGATCCCGGAAACTACGAACCGACTCAAGGTTCATACCTTTAATGGTGCTAAAACATGCTAAAACCAACAAGAATCCCTGGTTTTTACACTGGGAAATTCAGAAATGATGGGAATTGATGGGAAATTACACAAGATCCAGTGGTTTCGAAAGCCTCATTTTCCTAACCGGGTACAATCGTGATACTGGGATGCTTGGTGCTCGTGGCAGTGATCCCAAATTCAGCTGTTTCAATCGCTATTCATGGCAAACTTTGGCCATGTTTCATGGTTAGATCACCATTTTTGTGGGTTAAGTCATGGTTAGATCAACATTTTTGTGGGTTAAGTCACCATGTTTCTCCATTTTTCATGGCTGCTGATCAAAGCCCTGGGCTCCCCCGCCACTTTGCCCGACTCATCGAAGTCGAAGTCCAACATCTCCTGCGATCTGCGACAGAAACGACGCTGGAATTGTGGTGTCTAAGTCCTTTATAGAAAAAAAAAACGGTTTTTTTCGTGGAACTATTGTATATTACTCTTCGTTTCAGCATGTTTAGCTTCGAATTATTTTCGTACCTGCATCTTCCAATGTAGAATAGATTTCGAGCGATCATTTTGCACAGGATTATCCAGGTACTGTTCGTTTCAGTTTAACTTCACACGACCAGTCCCGTCCTGCTTGCCGTCCTTCCAGATCTGAAGAGACAGCTTCATGCCTTCCTGAGAAAATCGTTGTGTTCGCAACGGTGTCCCGATCTCCAGGGATTGGCCTGGCTCAATATCGCTTAATTAGGATACAACGAATCAATTGGACTAATTGGGCCATTAATGGATATAATGGGTGAATTCATGTTAATTCCATCATATTATCGTTGGTTCAATAGCCCTGTTTTTGTTGGTTAGTGCCCCGCCATTCTTCCCGGAATCGATTGGAAATCTAACAGGGTTTACCCCTCATGATTTCCAGTCAAGGTCTCTTGAAACGATCCTTTCACCATAGTTTACGGGTGAACTGAATCATAGCCATAGTAGGTCTATCTTTGGCCAAATTGTTTCAGATTCTCAAGGCATGACTATATGTTATTATATGTTATGATATACTATAGTTATCAGGGACAGTCAACTTTATTTTTGTCCACCAGGCGTGAACCCGTCATTTTCATTCATTTCGTCCTCCCATCTCCAAGTGACACAAGAAGGAAGGCTGTAGGAGACCAGAAAGGTGGCATCCATGAAGATCTTGACACCACCTGAGACAGGTCGGACAGGTCCTCCAGGTCGCCCCAAATCTCCACAGAAATCAAGATATCGGCCTTGCAAAAGACTGTCACGCACCAGGACTTGCGCCGTTCGCGAGGGCAGATACATCTTCACCTGGCCGCGTTGCGCCATGCCGTGAAAACCTGGGTTTTGTGGGAAAATCTACCGGAAACCATGGGGCTTCCCATGAAATATGGAGGAAAAGCCTGCAAAATCGTCCCACCTCTGGGAAACTCGGAAGAGCGAGCTCTCACCACAAGGCGAGTCATACAAAAATATATGAACCATTGTGAATCATCATCCCAAAGATGCTTGAAATTGACTGAAATACCTCAACGCCCCAACCAGAACCATCTTCAAAACCTTTCTCGCGCTGCATTTTGACTCTTCGCAGATCATTTCTCACGGCATTTCTTCGCTGGCCCCAACTCCGTCTCCAAAAATCATATCAGTTTCAGGTGCTAAAAACGAACAGCAGCTAATGTGCCGTTGACGCTCGGGCCGTAGCTAGGGCCGGCCCGCAGCTACGCATCGCATTTCTTCTGAATCTGCTGCCAAGTCGTGGGACCCAATCCAGCTGGAAACTCGGTGGAGGCGGGCAACTTCAAAGGATACTGGATCGAAGAGCTGGAGACCTCTGGTGGTCCCACACAAATGCATAAGGCCTGTGCGGTGTTCATGATCTGGGCCAGGGCGTTTCGGAAATTCACCTGGCGCTTCATGGCTTCCAGAGGCGATTCTTGCAAATTTGAGCTGTGAAATCATTGAAATGGAGACGTTCAAGGAAAAATCCCCCAACTATTGCTGGTGTTTACCCGAGGAAAGTCCGCCAAAAAAGATGTCACGATGTCACGGTGGCCCCACCCGAATGACCTCGTTCTCGGGATCAAGGTCGACGTTGATCTGGACCGGCCAAATTTGATTGTTGTCCTCTGGACCATTGGCTCATGAGCGTTATGACATGTCATAACTGGGTCATGTGGGGTCCATGTTCGACTCTGAAACTAGCATTGAAATCTCAAGTTCGAGTCATTCAAAGTGTTCCCTGAAGATCCCTGAAGATGTTTCTGAGATTTTACTATCAAACACAGATCCAGATTTTTTGCCTCCGGGGGAGGACTGTCCATGAAATCTACAATATACATCAATATACTGTCTATGTTTCAAGGGCCATCCCAGCTAATGTATCAACTCTGGTCCATTGCAAGCGGGATATCCAGAATTGGCCCCTCAGCCATCCGAATCGCCGACCAGTATCATCCTCGAGGAGCACGAGACAAAAAAACAAACAGATCGAACGATGTGTTTATGTGTTTTACATCGCTACATGGAGGTTTCCTGAGTCATGGGGTTACCCCACTAGCTGGATGGTTTATTTCATGGAAAATCCGAACATAAAATTGATGATTTGGGGGTACCCCTATTTCAGGAAACGTCCACACGTTACATCGCGTTTAAAAAAAAAATGTACAGTACCACCTGCTGTTTGGTGATTATGATCCCCATAAGACATCAATAAGGCAGGTTTGCCTCTAATTTCGCATGGCATAACTTAAATGGAGGTTTCCTGAAATGGGGTTACCCCCAAATAATCCATTTTTAGTAGGAAATTCCACTATAATCCATCCACAGTCCAGCTATTTGGGTACCCCCATTTCAGGAAACCTCCAAATCATCACCCAGGGTCTAAGAAAACCGGTGTCTCCTTTCGTCGCCAAGGATCTAATGGCTGGCCATACAAAGCATGCGGAACTTCCTTGGTGCCCAGAAAGCCGAGCTCATCGAGCACCCGCTTGCGCAAGGAAAAGTCGTCGATGTCCTGTGAAGCCCAGGTGCATTTAGAACTTCTAGGGAATAGTAGTATCCATATGAAATAGCCTCGGTATCAATTTGCACATGTATTTAGATATATCGATATATATATATATATATGTATATTATAAAATATAATTATTATACATTATATATTAGCATATATTACATATATTACATAGGTGATAATCCACTTGCTACCTGGGATGCACATTCAAGGATTTTGCATGGTTTGGAGACTCACGGAAATCCATTGACACAGAAACATACAGGAGATTCCGAGCAACGGGTGTGATTTGGTAACAATTAGTTGTATAAAGTGGGACCAGGAGATACGGGGAGCCAAAGTGCATTTGAAGGGGAAATCTCGTGTGCCTATCGTTGCATAGAGCGATGGAGTGTTGGAAAAAATACTGGTCATATACATTATCAGAAGCAATGTGTATACACAAACATTATGCAACCATTGCAACGTAGATTTATATTAGTGACAAGCATTGGGGGACATGTGTATGGCGGGATCGAATACGTCACTATATGAAATTGGAGTTTCCTATCTCTGGGGATTCCCCAGCATTTCCTTGACCAATTGCGCGGCGCGTCTAGCACCCCATCATCGTCTTGCTCTTGAACTCCACTTCTGGATCACATCATGAATTCAAAGCTCGATTTAAGGCTATAGTAACCCCAAAAAGAAAGGTTGAAAAAGTGATTTATCACTAATTAACTAGGAATTTACTTTTGGATCTTCTTGGGGGTTACTGTAGTTATATCAGGAAAACAGTTTCCTATTTCCCCATGTTTCGACCCAATGTCCTGGTCGGGCATTTCTGGTGGCTGAATATCCACAGTTTGTTCTTGCACCATAAAAGATATCAAAAAACAAACCCATATCTGTTGTGATCTTAAATCCTTTCCCTGTTTGCTCTCTACTGTAGATCGTTTGTTGGTTTTTGTTGTTCTCATAATACTTTTGCGAAACGTAAGGAATCAGGGAATGATCCAATCCATAACTATTTTTCTAATCATCCCATTCTCCCATTCCCTCCTAGTGGCACCAGTAAAAAACCCTGAAAAATGTTGGGTGAATTTTCCTACGTGTAAATGGTTTATAAATTAAGTTAGATTAATGGAATATCTCTTGGAGTATATGGGATAAAATATGGGTTGGATTAACGGGTTATAAATCACGTGTTAAGTGGGATGCACATCCAAGTATGGTTCACTAATGATTATTGGTGATTAATGATTGTTCATACTTATGTTTTTGATGGATTATAAATTCAAATTATATAGGCATATCCCTACTTATAGATTATGGATTCTTAACTTATAAATTATTCCCACTTGTGGACTAAAAATTTCCGGATTCACAACTTACAACCGATTTTTTGGGGAAAGTATACCCCAGACGATCCACATCTCCCCGCCCCGTTCACCATGCCGTTCGGCGTCCGCGTGCGGGTCATGGTCGCGGCTGGCTGAGACGTTGCCGCTGCAGAAGCTCTGCGCGACCGCCTGGTGCAGCTCCAGCCGAGGGTAACGCCTCGGTGGTAACAACCCATGGGTCCAACGGTGAAACATGGTGAAACCATCAGAAAAGATTGGAAAGTATGGCAAAAACATCCCAACATGTTAAAATATTGGAAAATGTGAGGAAAAACGGGGTTGTATTTACCAAAAATGGAAAGTTTGTAACTAAGAACAATGGTGGTATAATGGGGCTATAATTGCGAAAATATTGGACGAAGATGGGGATTTGAGCAACAATTTGATGGGAATTTACAGTTTATCTATGATAGCTAATTTGGTTTACAACTATAGGTTTCCTATGGTTGATGGTAGATATAACGACCTAGATCATGGAGTGAAACTGAACGAACAAACACAACTGGGGGGCACCACCTCGCAGTTTGACCAAAAAAGTTATATGAATCTGATTTGAACTTTACCAATGCATAGAGGGAAATTGTATGGGATATAATTAGGATGATATACGGGTAGAAAACTAACCATGATATGAGGATATCATGGGATCTACTGAAGCGGCATCTCACCGGCCAAAAAAGGGATTGAAGACGACTGAAGACGATTGAAGACGATTGAAGACGATTGAAGACGATTTGATCATAAATAAACTCAACAGCTTGACAGCTCCTGCTTTGTTTCATTTTTTCACAGCGCTGCCGGGAAAACTTCTTCAAGGAGATACCTGACAGGACGACTGCATCAAGGCTGGCGAATTAATGGCCGCCCTGCCCCCCCCCCTCTGGTTGACAAAACGATTGCAGCTCAATTGCTTCATGATCATGGTGATGATGATGATGATGATGATGATGATGATCAATGGTGGCTTCAACCCTGATCCACAACATGCTAGTTACATGATGAGGTTTTTGTCGCAACCCACACGGTTTGAGAAAATCTCATCAACTTGATAATATGGTTGTATATTTAAAAAGTATTCGAACATCAATCCGTGATATCTAGGATACTAAATCTACAGCTGCCCATCTTCAAGGCTCTTAGGCTCTTATCACCAGCTTTCAGCAATGATGAAGCCTATCAGCTGAATGATTCAACGGCTTCACGACTGGAAGAGTTGGAATGGCAATGGAAAGCCGATGTCAGTATGGGCCGTTTGGGATCAAAAATTGTCTGAACTGACATGTCATCAAATGCGTGGATCCAACAAATCAGGTACCAACTGATGCAGAAATCCAGTGAACGCTCCGATGATCCAGATGCTTGAACCATCTGCCTCTCCCTGCATCTATCTATCCATCCATCCATCCATCTGAATTTGAATCTGACTATCTATCTATCTTCACTGCGGCAGGGTTTGCGGCAGGGTCTGCGGCATCTGCCAGGCCTTGGCCTCCTGCAGTTGCTTTTCCAGCTCCTGTGTGGTAGTACATAGATCACATCATGTCATAAATCAACGTAGAAACATGTATGCAACCATATCTATACATGAAATTGCGGTGATGCTCATGCTGAGGAAACTTGTCTGGAAGTTCAAAGCGCAAGCAAGCTTTTTCTACCATCTGAAGATCCAACTGATTCAAGCTTTTTCAAGCTTTTTCTGACCAAAACGGTGCTGCAGGGGCGGCCGTGTTTAAGGAGCTGAGCATCACGTTGCCGCTTGAAGCCCTGTACAAATGCCTGACGCAATTCCCTCAAGGGCTAATTTGTGTGAAAACCATCAACACTGCCAGAAGATTGTAGGCCAGAGTCCAGAGTCTGGCTCCAGAAAAATGACACGGAAACCCGTAAATGAACTCACTTGAGAATGTGTTGGG